GTTATCAATTATTGTAATTACTATGCCCCAATTACTAAGAATCTTAAATGTAATTAAATATTTGTAATGTCAGACCTGATGCCTCGTTAGGAGAAAGAGCAATATCATGATGGTAAACACAGTATCTGCAAGTACCTGGTAAACCTGCAGTTTTTAAATCCTGCAAACATTGACAGTAGCAATATTAGATGATAAAAAAGTATAACTTGAAATAAGAAATTTGATAAAATTCGACCATTTAAGGATCTGAGGGCACTAATTGAGTGGTTTTGGGGTGGGTGGGGGTGTTGGTGTACTGCTTTATGAACCCACCTACAAATATGTAACACAACTGAAATAGAATATTTTTAGGCATACTAGTATTGTATAAAGTGTTTGTATCCTGCTGAAATCTAACCCTTTCACTTTGATGTCATTTGTGGTTTTAGAAAGGGTATGGGTTTATATTCAGTGATATTTTAAAAGTTAAAACCATATTATTTAAGAAGTCGGATTCCTTCAGCAGTGCTGATCATTAGGTCCCTTACATAAATTAAAAGTTACATTTAGTCTTCTTAATATGGTTGTTTAATTGAGTATAAATTTAAATCATGACACAATCTGGTATCTATTTTTTACTGATAAAGACTCAGGAATATAGTTGGAGTGTGTATATTTTATTGTGGAAAAAATATTAATAATAGCAATATACTGTAGAAAGCATTTCTTTAAAAAAAAAATTCTTGTGGGATCTGGGTTTGAGCTCTCCAAAACTTGGCCGCAATTCAAAATAAGCTTGCTGTGTCATAGAAACTTGTCAATCCGCCAAGGTTGTGGACCAAATTTGGGCTTCCAGTTCTCAAACGGGAAACAGGAGGAGTGAGTGAGACTATTATATTACGCTGTGCTCAGGGGCGGGTTCAAGGAAGACTTGAGCTGTCTTACTCCCCCTAAATTGTTAAGAAAATATATTTTTTAAAAGGGGACTAAGAAAAACATTTAAATGCAAATATGAGAGTGCCATTTCCGGCCATCTAGAGGTACCAGAACCATAAAATGTTGTACCGCAGCCCCAACCATGGTGGGGAAAGGGAAATCTAGGCTCCCCTCTTTCAAATTTCTGGAACCACTAATGATGCTACAATACTTAGGCCCCTTTCCCCTCATTGATGGGAATTGGAAATGCTCACTTAACACTTATATATAGATATTTAAAAAAAAGAACAAATTTATGGATATTAGATTTTTATATATGAACTAGAAATATGGTTGTAAAAATTATATAATGTGGATTAAACTAAGTAATTGGCGTTTGAATAATTAGATAGTAAGGTATTTGTCATTTGTTGACAACTCTAAAAATATACTGTTGGGTATTTATTATAATGAGATATAATTCCAGGACCTGTTACCGTGTATATTAACTCAAAATAGAAATTGCCTATGACGAAAATAGTTTTATATCCTATGACAAAATTGAAGTTAGAACCAAAACTAGCAATACTGTAGTAATTTTTTTTTATATGATTTTATGTCCCAAAGTATTTATTTTTAAATGAACACGTATGAAAAGTGCATGAAAAGTGATTTTATTAATTTATATCTGCAAGTTTGATATCGATTTATGGAAAGAAATAAATAATCTTACGATGTGCAAGGAGAAACCGTTTTGTGGTTAAGATACAAAATCCTATCTTTCATAATTGTATATTTGGTTGAAATGGTTATAATTTAATATTTAAGTTTATATATTTGCATATATGGTTTGTGTTTATGTAGTTTGAATAGAAGGTTGATGGAGAAAAAATATTTTTGCTTTGCCCTAGCAATAACCAGATAAAAAAAAAACCACAAGTATGCATTTATGATATAAAGTACTAGGAATAAAAGTTTGAAATAAACTATTAAAATACAGAAAGTAGTGTTTCTCCATTTTTTAATTACAGTAATTGATTTCAGAATCAGTAGATCATGAACTAACATGTACCAAACTACTGCCAATAAGCGCCCGGGCGGTTTAATTATATTTTTTGCCTTTTTCGAGGGGCGCTTATTCAAATGGGGCACTTATGAAAACAGAGTGGAAATTGAGGGGCGCTTTAAATGGAAATATATTAAAATTCAATGGGCAATTTTTGATTGTAATAATTATATAAGGAAAAAAACATGCTAAAGGTGCAAATTGTCAGGAAAAGAAAAGTAGACAAATGTAAGAGGAGGAAAGTTCTCATTTGTCTAGGATAAAATATCCTCATTTTGAAATTGACATAAGAAGAAATTGTGAATTCACTCCGCAGCTCAAATCATGTCAACCACAGTCTCAGGATTATCATTTGCTAAAAAAAATCGATCACAAAAAAAATGAATAAACACCAAGGGGCGCTTATTCAAACAGGACACTTATTCGTGCGAGTACAGTAATGTTCCTAATGCATTGAATAGCAACATGAACTCCAGCTATTTAGCCAATAATGTTACTAAAACATAGGGTAAGTGCACAAAGTAGACAATCAGCTAGGACTTGAGACCCTAAAAGGGGCCAGATACACAAATACTGATGTGCCCTGAGACTCCATATGTAGGGGAAATTATTACACATGCATCTGCTCTGAATTTCCACAAGTAAGGATTTGGTAGTGTAGCAACACAGGAGGTAGGAATAGTAAGGCCAGCATTTCAACTCTACCACTGAAAAATTCACTACATTTCACAAACAGAAGCTATTACATTCCATGACTGGATAGATAAATAAAATTAATAGGTCTCCTCCTGTTTCCTCTTATTAATTGAAATTTCCTTGATAAAACCATCCAAAACAGGGGTCCATACCACTCCCTGTTTTCAAAATCTAAAATCATTGCACCTCCTTTAGTACCAGTACGTTTTTGCTCGTGTTCTTGTTTCAACAATGTTATATTTGTCCATCAAATCTTGTTCAACAGATTTATACTGTATCTTAAATGTTTTCTTGCCTACATCATCAACTGAGGTGTCTTTAGGTTGATCTAGAGAGAAAGAGAATTCAAGCTCATTAGAAATTATGGGAATGGCATACCACATTAATGTCATTTCTGAGTACATGCCAAGAATAAATTGACTAAGGAGGTCCTAACTAACTCAATTAAAGAACAATGTATTTAGCACAAATTCAATCAACAAATGAGCACATCTCAAACTCAATTAAAAAAATGTATTCAATATATTTAACTCAAACTCAATCAACCAACCAAGGAGCTTGTCACAAAATCAAACAAGGAGATCAACACAAACTCAATGAACTAGGCAGTGGCGAAATCAAGGGGGAGGGGCACGAAAGGGGCACTCGCAGCCAAAAAATCTACTTTCAAGTCAGTGGCACAGAGCGGTATGGTGGTGCGTATATATGACTGAAATTAAAATGAATGAAAACAAATTCTTAACCAAAATGAAACAGTTAAACAGTACTGTAAAACATTAATCATAAGGACTGTACAGTATGCATAAGTATGTTAATCATTTACATTGTAAATGCCTTGATGCAAGTTCATTATATAATAGTAGTAAAAACAAAATTTAGAAAAAATTTGTTTTATTACACCTGCTGCCACCTTCACATCTGTATTTCTTAATCATATAAATTTAAAGCATGTACTGTATTAATCAGATTTCTACATTGTTTACATCATTACATTACATTCTTTACAAAGATGCAATAGAATCTTAAGCAACAATTAGGAAGCCCCCTCTCAAAAATGATTACTTTTTCTACTTTTTATTACTGAAAATCAACGCTTCTATTTGTTACGTGTAAATTGCAGAGAGTGCTATCTTTATATAAGATCTTTGTCTTGCACTCGCATATTTTTATTCATAAATATAATTTTATTTTTTATATTCTCTGCCAAGATAGTCTATATGCCATTTGACTGTTTGTCAAAGCCCTCGACACTGGACATTCGCATGTGCAATGAAAAATAGTGAGTGGGCTTATTTACCTGTATACTTAGCTGGATCGGGTTCATCTGGATTTAGTAAAGCCTTAGCCGGTATTGGTATAATTCGGCCAGTTCTCTTGGACACTCGTACACGGTCCCCAGCTTCTGTGTATCGGAACTGAATATCTGTTGGTTGACTGAAAGACAGAACCATACAGATGGATCAAAGGCATTACTACAAAACAAATTACCATTATGGTAAGCCATGTCCAGACTGGAATTTGATTTGGAAAAACCATGTGACATGCCTAAATATGGTCAAGATGACATCACATCAAGACCATTTATAGCTTCATCATCGTCTGTAATGGATATACTGTACAGTAACATCTTCCAATTACGTACAAAATTCATAATTCATAGAGTTCAAATTTTCAGCATCAGCAGTGTGGTGCGGGTGAATAGGCCTAGGCCTATGCTATAAAGTACAGGGCTAGGTAGGCCTAAGCCTTGCCATGGGGGAAATATTTTGTCACAATATATGACCTGGATTTTTCGGTTTTCTGCAACAAAATAATACTTTACAGACAAAAAAATTGCCTGTGCTGTGAAGTATTTATTTGAAGTGATTTCCAAATGAAAACATGACCAAATAATGTCCAAAACTAGTGTTATTATTCTTTTCATAAAGATCGCGAATCCATGCAAACAGCGCCTCAACATGCATGCACAGCTCAAATATAACATATCGCAGCTGAAAACGATTGATATTGTACTTAGTTTTATATAACTTTAATCGTTTGAATGTTTTCTCTCTTAGCTTATATAACAATTTAAATTATTTCTGAAGAATTTTACATACATTTTAAAGTGTTTTTGTAGTTGAAAACAATCGCTCGCAATGGCGTCATCACCGCAAATTTGGTTAGTAAAATCGAAAGTTCGTAAATGGGAGGTTTATGTAATTGGGAGATGTTACTGTACGAAAGTTTTTTTTTGTCAAAGAAAATTTGATAGTTTAATAAAGAGCTGTAGAGTAATAAACTGGCACAATCATTGTCCCAATCCCAAATTGTGTGTAGCATGTTGGCACTCACCTGTCTGAGGGGTCAACAAGGGCGACAGAAAAGTAATCCAAAGGTGTTTCACTGGCAACCATCGTCCCTCTATATCCCTCCATCTTTCCTACATACTTGTAACACTGTGGTATGAAAACATATGTCATAAATCAATTAATTTAAATAGCTTATAATATATTTATACTTCAACAACATTTTGTGAGGGTAGTCCATCAATCTATGGCTGAAAGTCATACTCCGGAGGAAAAAAAATTGTTGATATGTTGTAGAACTGATTTTTCTAAGACAGAAAAAAGTTGTTTGACGAAAAATTGGGGACCGGTGAACGAGATACAGATTTTTGAATATTTAAAAACTGGGGGAAAGAAGGGACGTAACCGCCCATTTTACTGTACTTTTTTCTGTCTTAGAAAAATCAGTTCTACAACAGCTCCTCCGGAGCCTGACTTGAATATAGTTGTTTGAATGTCATTAGCATCATACAGTATAGTAATCATTACTTATTTCCCACCTTTCATTTTCTTTATAATAATTTGTATTTATTGTTATTATGTTACAGTAGATTAAAGCCAAAAACCATCAAAGATACTATAGCAATAAAGTCAACTATAGAAACATTTTTTTTCTTTTGTTGACCAAAGGTCATTTATTCACAATCAAATATCATTAATATTTATTATTCTGTACATTAAATTCATTAACAATTCTTGATGGATGAATGTATGCAAGACAATTCTCCCCCCACCCACCCCACCAATTGTTGACCGAAGGTCATTAAATTACAGCTCTATCAAACTTATTTATAATCACATAATACATTATAATACAATATATTAATTATTACAATGAAATAATGAATGATTAAGTTCAGCAAAACAATAATCAGTCATATTGCTTAAAATAATCAGAATGTAATAACAATGTGAATATATAATATGCAAAAAAAACCTATTAAATAAGCTATTGGAGCCCCAGAATTGTCAATTTTTTTAAGGAAAGTCGACCCCTGAATCAATAATCCCAACATTATATACTATAGAAACATTTTAATATTTATAGTATGTAATACTACAACATCACAACTGTATCTACTGTATCTCATCAAAATCATGTTTTTAAAATGTTAAGCACAATAACAAACAAATACAGATATAGATAAATAAATTATAGAAATAAATAACAACAGACGGATGAATGAGTTGTGAAATAAACATTGGCGAGGAATTATGAAGTGCTTTGAAAACAAATAATAAAATCTTGTAAGTAATTCTCTGTGTTACAGGAAGCCAATGAAGGTGCCTTAACACAGGAGTGATGGTTCTCACAATCATAGTGTCCCAAGCTTAAATCATGCAAACCCCAGTATTTTACTTCAGAAATAACAATGACAAATAATTGTGTATAATTGCACCTATTTTTCACTTACTAGATCGCCTAGATGAATTTTCCACTCTTTGATTGGTTGAACTATAACAGGTGGTCTAGATCTACCAGGTAAGTTTGCAATCTGGGCTTGGATGGTTCCAGGTCGTGCCATAACATAACGGTAATGTCTGTTAACTGTGATTTCTTTGATATTATGTCTTGACGCTGCTGCCAGATACAGCTGCGTCAAACGTGGCATCCTGATTGCTCAATAAACAACTCCTGATAACAAAAACCAGTGACAATTATATTATCTGAAATGAAACAAAATCAAAATTTTATAAAAAATCAACAGTACAGTAATACTGAAATGCATATATAATAATGTATTTTTGCCTAAAACAGAGAGACACTGTCTGGTAGGCTATCTGGTAGGCTTAAATGGGAGCAAGCCCATCCATTTACCACTGTGTGTGACTTGCCCTCAAGGTCACACATTAGTATCTGTCCGGGCTGAGACTGATGGTCATTCTGTTATGGTTATGTACTACTAAAATAAGAGAGAGGCTAGGCCTAGCCTAGCACTTCAACTGGCTTAGGCTAGTTAGCGCGCCTAGACTACATAGGCGCCTAGCCCTAGCTTTGCGCCTGTCTATACTCTCTAGGTAGGCCTAGCTAGGCTTCCTGTAGCTAGAAAAGTAAGTAGGCTTAGGCCTAGCTAGGCCTTGGCCTAATTCCCTATACTAGGGCTAGGCCTAGGTCTACCTAAACTTCCCGTAATCTCTTCCCTAAAATAATAAACTTCATTTGCCTTCTTAACAGTAAAACTTGATGCAAAATTTAACAATAAATAAATGTTTTTATTTATAATATCATTTCTTTCAGTTGTTAAAAACGCATGCTTGCCTCTCCGTTAACAACATGCCGTCCATTGTGTTGGACTACACCATTCACAACAAACTTACTCCTAATGATTTATCTTTCTTCGACCTTCTATATACGATTTTAACATACATTGCATTCCGATATATATCTGTTCATATTCAATCACATTAATTAATTTATCTAACTTTATTTTAAACTGAAACAGATTTGTAACGAACTTGATTTTACCATACTTACCTACAGGAAAGTGGAACGGCAAGAAAAACAGACTATTTACATTTCAAAGAGAGACCCTCGAAGAAGGCGGATCTTTTGCGAGGGACTGCCAGCAAGTGTCTAGAAAACACTTAAGATTTTTTTTTTGACATTTGTTGTGCTAGACACATTCAAGAATAATATGTCTACTGCTACGGGAGTTTTTCTGCTGTCGCTGACAGCGGTCCCTGTATGCTACAGTATGAATTTAATGAGTAGCATGGGTGATCACCGCCTAGTTTTTGGTGGTGCATGTCTCGTTTTGGCTGTTATCGTGTTCATGTCGTATCTCATTATCGCCTTCACTGGCAAACAGAACAAGCCTAGCGATTTATTTTTCTACGGTAATATTTGCTTTCTGTATTTTTCAAAATGTTGTTTATAATTGATGTATTTTTTTACGGTTACACTGTTTTCGAATAATTATTTTTTTAGCAGTTATTGTTGGCATGACTCCTGAACAAAATGGAAGATTCCAAAAATGTTTTTGTTAATATTTCGAACAGTTGCAAGAGACTATTTCACTAAATACTGAATAATAGAACTCTAATAAACAATTAGTATAGCTGCGCATAGTACACTAGCAGAAGTGAAAAAAATCCTGAGAAGGAAATTTTTGAATGCATTAAATCTTAACTAAGTATAATAATTTTCCTGTAGTGCACGATGTAGCTAAAATTGCATTATAATAAGTCAATCGCCATCTTTTAATGTAATAATAATAATAATAGTTGGATTTGTAGAGCGCATCATGCGAAAAAGCCTCTATGCGCTTGGTGATTGAGCTCTTTGAGTTGGACATTTTGAGAAAAAAGAAAGTTGAAGTTATTTTATGAAACTAAAAAAACCTACTCCTTAAACTAAGGCATGGTTGGCCATTGGCTCTGAGGAGTTCATCCGCCCTTTGTTCAGCTGTTTTTTTTTTATATCAACTGTTGTAGCAGTCATCGGTTGCTATAGTGATATGTTCAGCATACCTTGTGCTTATTACTTTTAGCAGTGCGTATGCTGATTGTTGGCGCTCCAGTACACGCTAACCCGCTGCGATGTCGCACATCGCAGTACATATACGGTGAATAAATATTTGATTGTGTTCAAAGAATAAACAATGACATTTGTCAGAGAGATGAACATTTCTTAAAGCATTTGAGAGAATACAGTAATCACTTTTTGGTCGGTACAGACAGGTAAAATCATGTGATGATTTCATCTAGGCCTAGTAGGCAGCTAGGCTACGGTCTAGGCCTCGGCCTCAGTGGCCTCCTGCCTCTAATTTTGTCCCTTGTGTCTTTAAAAAAGGTCTAGAATATTCCTATTAAATGATCAGTTTCTTTAGTTTATTAGAGTCCATTGATTTAAAGAATTCCTTAATTTTTCATTGAATTTAAAGTAACTTTCTTCAGGTTCTAATCAACATTGTTTTACAACAGTAATTTTTCATTTACCACTTGTCAACAAACGACAGTTGGGCAAGTGTCTGACCTCTCCGCAGGTGGGCGTTGAAGTGCTAGTGAGAAAACACTAGCCTACAATTCATTGCGGTGTGTGATATATACTGTACAAGTCAGGGGCGGATCCAGAGATGTCCAAAAGGGGGGGCCGAAAGGGTGGCCGAAATTTAGGCCGATCGAGACAACATTGACCCAGGGGGTCCGCGAAATTTTTGTGTTCTAGACTCCCGAAAATAACATTTGAGGCGTTGTGGGCTATCATTTTTTTCTTTTTCTTTTTTTTTTTCTTTTTTTTTCTTTTTTTAACCTCCCAAAAGAGGGAGGGGGCGGAGCCGGGCCGCCCCCACAGTAAATCCGCCCCTGATAACAAAGTAGGATGAAAACAAGTTGTTTTTCACCTTTTGCACATGAACTGAACAAAGATCAAGCCATCCGTACGCTAATGAAAAATTACACTTTTTTTTTTTTTTTATAAGAACACTGAGGCTGAAATTGCTTAAAAATTAAGAACAAAATAAGAACAAATTGAGGCTGAGGTAATGTCAAACTAGAAAAATCAAAAAAATTATATCTGTACCTTATGTGCAGTAGGTGTTACTATGCAATACCCTCTATAATACAGTACAGTAAGTGTAGCTACCTCCCATTTGGGGCCATTTTTTAACCGGGGCCATTTTTTGCTAGACCTTTCTGCTGTACAATAATAATTTTCTATCTTTGAAAAGTGTGTAAAATAAGAACAAAATAAAAACATTTTGAGCCTGAAATTGGCCAAAAAATAAGAACACCGAACCTGGGCAAAATTTTACTGGTTCTTATTTTTAAAAAAAGAGTGTAGTGCACGGCTGGGGATAGGAAAATAACATTGGGAGTTACAGTGATGAATATGTATGTGTTGTGTATAAACATGTGGTACAACATTGGCCATTATTGGGCTGGGAAGTATGCAATCGCATGTCTTACAAGGGGCATGGTTGAATTTAACCGTTTCATAGACAATATCAAAATTCAGGTCTTAATTTTTTGTAAATTGTAAAATATTTATTCTTGCAGTGTTTTCATTATTTGCATTTACCAGTGTCGTAGATCTGGTTATTGGACTGGAATTGGATGGTGTTATTAATAACTTTGTTGCATTTTATCTCAAAGAGGTTAGTACAGGATATTCTATGATGTCATGGTTCATAAATAATTTGAATAGTGCATACTGTAATCATAAACAATATTTGTATTGATATCAATCATGAAAGGAATGGATACAATAGCCAGTCAGTTTCCATAAGTTTTCAAGTTTTGTAAACTGGAAATTTAGTGTTAATTTTTGTTACCATTTAATTGTTTTCTTATTAACAAATACATAATTGCTATGCAAATATGAACTATCCAGGGGCAGAACCAGATGTCCAAAGGGAGATCCCCGATTGAGAGACAGCGCTACCCTAGGGGGTGATCAATAATTTCTTTTTCTTTCCTTCCTTTTTTTATTCTTTATTTTTTTTTACTTTACAAAGGAGGGGAGGGAGGCCCTAAATCCGCCCCTGCTATCTGTCTGTAAAGATCAGTTGCCACATCTATTTAACAATACATGGATTTTTGTGATAAGTCAATATTATAATAAAAAACAATGTAAAATATTTATCATTATGACAAACAACCTGGCAATTCTTTTTTAGTTTATAGTGTATAGGCCACAAAATTAGCTTGTATTTACTATAGTGCAGGGTGGGGTTTTCCAACAAAATAATGAATGACAAAATTAACCAAAGTATTAATTAATGGAGACTCAACATTGTGATGAAGAATCTTAGACACAAGATTTTTTTAAATTAAAATCCAATGGTGGCATTTGCAATAGTTTTTAACTTTTTTTATAAATATTCTCTTAAATTGAACCAAGTATAGATATTTTTCAGGAACCAGATTAATTTATTTTAACTTTTTGATTTTATTTATTTTAGGGTGAACCATACCTGAACACAGCCTATGGAACCATGATTAACTACTGGGATGGTACAGGACACTATTGTATGTACCTAATGATGGTTACTGCTATTGTATGGAAGTAAGGTTTAAGGCAAATATATTTGGCTATTTATGTAACTCTTCATAATCTTGATCATGCTAATGATTACGATTTGCTGATTGTGTATCGCTGTCACCTAAGGCGAAACTTTATTTTATACCTTGTTAAACGAACCCACCGTCTGCAAATATTGATGATATTCGAATAAAAATAAAATTTTATTTTTGGCCAATTAGCGCACCCACCACCACGAAAAAGTTGAAATTTCAGAAAAAAAATAAAAGTTTTTCTTTATTTTTATTACGCCCTCCGCTGCCTTGAAATCTCACAAGATAAGATATGTATGTTTCTTCCTTATATCAATTTGAAGCATTGAACCATCCTATTTTACATTCACCAATAAAATTTTATTTTTATTGGTGAATGTACGCGAAACAATAAGAGATAAAAAAAGTCTTGCCTATTCTAAGTTGTAGAGAACCATCAGAAATCTCCTCCCCTTTTTCTGGACCTCATCAAACCCTCTCCTGTTTCTATAAAATAGCTTGCCTATGTATAAGCAGTGTGTATATATATCTGTCTCTTATACACATCTAGATGTGTATAAGAGACAGATATATACTGTACATAGTAGGCCATATTGTAATGGTGGGAAAATACTGGGCATGGGACGTGGCAATACAAATGCTTTATAAAACCAACATTACTATATTGTTATAAATAGATTTATAATTAACTATTAGAAGTTGTAGTGATTTGTGATTTTTAATTCAATCTATTTAAATGAGCAATCTAATACTGTTTATTGAATGTTGTTTTTTCTTTTTCTCAGAAAATCAAAGCCCAGAAGAAGAGTATTTTCCAAAGACCATTTGATCTAATGATGGTGATATACTTACTGACCTCATGTGTCTTCTCTTTCATCAGGATGCTAGTAAGGCAATCCATTCATTCTTTCATTTATTTTCTTGAGATTATTTGCTTCTTGTGTATTCCAATGGCAAACATACTCCCTTCCATTAAACTGTCACCATTTCCATCTCAATTGACTTCTCCAAATGCTCTAAATTGGCAATCTCAGGCCAACTGACTGTAGCTCATTAGAAAATTTTGCTGATTAGTAAATTCTGCTGCACCTCTCTGATGGCTGAACCAGGGCCCAGCCCATGTTAGAAGAAATTTCAACTATAATTTTTGCTTTACCAGGCAGACTTGTTGTTTCATAGACTTAACTCAAATTCCTGGATGTTTCAGAGGCAATGTCATTTTTTCCACCCTTATTCTTTTGCAGGCTGCATTGAACAGTCCAATCCTATTTGCACAAGCATATGTAAAATTTTATGAACCTTACCTTCTGGATCCAGTTATCTATCCTAAATTACAGGTAAGATTATCCAATTTTTATTTTAGTTATTATTATTATTATTTTTTTTTTTTTTTTTTACATTCATTCTTTATTATTATTATTATTATTATTATTATTATTTGTTACATTCATTCTTCAACACCACAGATAGCTATTTTTTGAGTATTATTATTATTGGCTTGTTTGCGATAATAAGTGCTATGTCATAACGTAAAACTGACACAAAAATAAAAGAATTAATGATACGTTAGTTGCCCAGTCTGAACATCTCAGTAGTTACACTTTAGATTAACATACGCCCGATATTATATACTACTGGCTGAACATAACTGTAGCTTTTGGCATAGTAGGAGATAACTCTTTCTGGAATACTTGATTTATAATTTGCTTCCACATGGATGCAGCAGCTATACGAATACAATCATTTCTATTGCAATTTGCATAAAATATGAAATTGAAGTTTAACAATAATTCATAATGATATTTATACAGACTTGCACAAGATGAAGAAAATTAAAAATAAATACTAACTAATACATACAAATACAGTATAACATAAATTACTGGTAAAAATAAAAATTCAATTAAATAAAATGCACTTCTAAACAGAGCTAAGCTAAATTACTGTAACCACACCCGTAAGACATATTATCATAACAAAGACATCAGCAAAATTGAAAATTTGAAGAATCATATCAGTAACCTGGACCTTGTTTTTTTTATTACTAAAACATGTACTGGTATTAGTGAAATTGTAGTCATGTCAAGTATGGATTTATAGTGTCTTTATATGCCTCAATGATTATAATTTCATGGAGTCAGCCAAGTTATTAGCATACAGTTCAATTATAACCAATTATCACCAACTAAGTGATCAGACCACAGTATAGCAATTTTCGGTAAAATTTACAGAGCATTATGCCGTGATGTTATTTGCTGGTAAGTGGTAAGACCTTCTGTGAACTACTTACAGAAATTTTCATTGGTTTTTGTTTATAATTTCTAAATATTTTTTTTAAATATTTTAAACATGTTTTAACTGTTACTGGACCTTAAGGAAGAACAGTGTCAAATTGATTAGGTGTCCAGAATAAAGACAGATTACTATCTGTGTCTACAACATCAAGGTACACAATGCTATAACCAGCATGCAACTAGCAAACAGAATAGATAAAATCTGTTTTCATTATTCTATTGAAAATTTAGAGATTAAATAAAGGTTTCAATCAGTGCAATATAATCATATTGTAGATCATATTGCAAAACAATGAACTTTCAATTTACAAGAAAAAAATGTCAATAAAATCAGAAAGTACATTGATTTCTAATGGACACATTACTGCCATTAAAAGCAATTTGTATAATCTTTTGAAAGCTTGCAGTCCTCAATGTATCGGCTGTGATCCCGTTCGTCATCTAATTGCCATGTTTTTCCGAAGCTTCCTTGTTCTCATTTGAATGGACATAATTAATGTGATTAGATCTGATATGATCTCATCTTTTCGCCCCTGTGACTGATGGCTAAGATTGATTGTGTATTAACTTACGTTTCATGATTTATTTGCTTATATACTTATTCATTTATTTAGATTATTTATTTCATAATACTAATGCTATAAAATGTATAAAAGCACCTATTAAAGCTAAAACACAACTTGACACCGTCAAGTCTGATACGCCATTACAAAATATTGATGAATCAAAACACTGTATAATACTTAATATCAAACACAAAGTAACAAATTTAAGTAGGAAATAAAGTATAGTATGATTATGTAGTCTTCCTATATATACCTGCATCACTCAGCATTATTAAATATTTTGATACCTTTCAAAGTTTAGAGCCCTGGTCAGACTGAGCCTGATTAGTTTGACCCAAAAACATCCTGTTTGTTAAATTTCCCAATCTACAGGGGGAAATTAAACAGAAAATTCAAGATGCACAGCACTACTAGTTAAATCTTCCTGAGTTGAATTATTGTAAAATATTAAAAATTGTAATTATTCTATTGGAATGTTTTGTTTTTTTTTGCTTCCCTATAGATGCTTGTGTACTGGTTCTACCTTACACCACACAGTTTATGTGCAATATACGGGCTGCTGTATCCAGGCTGTGAATGGATGTCAGACTGGGCATTAATACATGCGGGAGCAGCCATGCAGGTATGTGTATATAAAGTACCTGCCAATCATGTTATACAAATAATATACAAGTCCACCTCATAGTTATAAGTTTACTTAAGGGCATAATGCAACATTTAGAGAAGCCCACCTTAGGGTATAAGTCTATCTTAAGTTTCTGCATAAATCTGCAGAAACTAAAACCTCAAGCTATAAGCTTACCTCAGAATATATGCCTACCTCAGAGAACAGTAAAAGCCAACCTATATAAATTCCACTTACAACGAATAGATATTACTAATTTAACCATATTCATATGAACCTTATTTTTATTATGTTTTCAGGGTCAGTTTTCTCACATTGGATCCTCTCTTCACTCGAGGACACCATACGCATTGAGGGTTCCCATAGATTCACGGTCAACATTCTGGGTTATCAACCTTATCCTGTTAGTCTTCCCTCAGATTTTAGCATGGCGATGTCTAAACAAACCAGCCTTCTTTGCCAAGGAAGTGGATCCAAGACCTCTAAAAAAAGAGCATCTAAAATAATTCAAAGTAATTTCTGTCTTTTTAAAATATACTGCTTCAATTTCAGTGTAACATTGAGATATGACTGGTATTTTTTGAATCAACAGAAATATATGTATTCATTAATTATTTTATGATTGCTTTATTGGTTAAATATCATTGCCAAATGTGTATTCCTGTTACATGGTGTGGATTATTGGATAATAAAATGCTTCCTGACTTTCAACCCACTTCTATAACAAACCTACCTCCCTCGGTTAGTAATTTCACCAATAGTAGGGTATCAGATTGATTTGAGAAATTAATAGAAATAATCATAATATGATCTCCTGCTGATCTCTGGGGAAAAAAATATCCATCATGGGATCAACTAATAAGTATAAAATAGCTAAATATCATTCTACACTTCCTCATGAAATGCAAGCAGTACTATGATCAACACAATTAATACAATTTAATACTATCCATTATAACTTGTTTAATGTTAAATAATGGAGTTTTTTAGCTTTATGCAAATGTTTTAATTCCATGTTGAGAGTTTAATGAGAATTTTAATTATATTTTAAGAAATTTTATAAAAGTTACTGTAATTGGGTTAAGTACCCCCTTGGTCTAAGCCTAGGTTTAGATACAGTATCGCCTTGATCAGATGAAATGCCAAAAAGCAGATGGAATATATATCTGCAATTGCTCTTCCACGTTTAAATCTATTCCTGATAATTATTATTTAGTAATATTTTGATTTATTTGTGTTTTTCGATTGTAAATACTGTACTCCAATTCTATATTTTGGTCGGGGCATACCACAGCATACCAGTCTCTAAACATATGCCCCCTTTTAGCTTGCTGTGCTCTGTTTGTCACAAATTTTAAGACCACTTTCCTTTTTAGGCTTACATGTGAGAGGCCTCAGGATGTATCCTGAGACCAAGGTCACCATACTCGACCAGTTGCCCTCCTTCACAATAAGTGTTTCATTTTCATCAATAATTTGATTTGTTTTTAAATGTGTGTACTATATTTTGTCATTAGCAATATTACAGAATTGTGTACTGTGTTGTGTAATTTATCATCATAATTTGTAGCTAAATTTGATAAATGCCAATTTTATTAATGAAGGGTTTTCCCCCCAATAAATTGGCATTAATTGAAATGAATAATTTTAATTATATTAATAAATTATTAATAATCATAATGATGAATAAATAGATAAAAAGATCAAATTCTTGTGTATTTAATCTGTTGTTGTTGTTGCTCTTCCCGATTTCTAAATCATAAATGTCTCTATGTTTATACAACACAACAAATATTATTGTTTTTCATTCATTTAATATTTTATTTCAGAAAAGATTTCCACAAATCAAAATAAACAAGGTGTACAGTATATTACATTTTAACTATGCATTCCGGGGTCCTAAGGTGGCAGCCCGCACATCCCCCCAAAATAAATTTATATTAAATCTGATCAAAATTCAATAAGGGCCACAAGTAATAAGAAAGTATTATACATACTCCAAATATTTAAATACACCCCATTGTGTTGGGATTCAGTAATTCAACATTGATTATGTCATCAGGAATGACATATTTTAATACTTGGAGTATGGATTATACTTTCTTATCTGAAATTAATCAGTGGACCTTATGTTCACAAGGTTATATTTTTGATGCAACAAAGATGTGTGTAGGAAATATTGTGAATGTGAATTATGAGTGAATTTATGCTATTGAAGATCTTTTTTTTTTAAACTTTACATAGATTTTTGCCTTATAAATATTTATTTGAATATTATTTTATTTTGAATGTTTAAAACATGCAGTTGTCAAAGCAAACAATTTCACACAGTGGTGGATCCAGGAATTCAAAAATACAGGAGGCCCAGAGAGGAACTTTCACAAATTGAGGGTATGATTATGACACCCCTAGTTAGCCAGAAATGGCACTTTTAGACTTGAATATAATTTTCTGTTATTTCTCCGTATGTTTTATATTTTGGAGCCCCCCTCCCCCACTTGAATCTGCCACTGACACATCTTGTTTTAAAGTCTGTACAATTGAATTTATTCATTGATTTTTTATTTATTTTGGTTTATAAAGACATCTTACAATTTACCATAGAATCACTACCAACATTCCCAACCCCATATCATAAGAGAATTGCAAATCAAAATTTAATAATTCAAAAATAGAAACTCTATTCATCAATTTATATCGAAATCAAATTAAAATCTCTACATTTAGGTTGTACAGTATATGAAACACTGGTGTACACAATCACTTGTCACTGTGGGTGGTTTTGTTGGTTTTGCTTGTGCATTCATTGAAAAACGTATATCGAATCACATGTATATCAAACACCGGAAAACTGAAATGTCAATATGGTGAACCTAGTAGTACTAGGGTTCTCTTGGGAACACAAACCAAATTAAATTATGGTAGTATAATTATGGAAATCTATACAAACATTATCATCAAAATATCTTTTAGCCAATGCACTTCTGTATATACTTCATTGATAATACAGCTTAGTTTGAATAACTTCACAGGTACCATATTTATTCGAATATATGCACTGGGGCATTTATTATTATACGTATATATTCAAATAAATGCCACTTAATTACATTAATGTAATGTGAACTACAACACATAATTAACATCAAAATGTGTTGCATTGTGACCATATACTTCTTAATCCCAACCATTAAATAATAATAGAATGTGTTGAGAATGATGTTGCTTCCATTAGATTTCTTTACAGTCATATTCGAGGAAAAAAATCTACAGCTAAAGAAAGGCACTTATTAAATTTTGAGGTTCTGGTGGGGGGGGGGGGGGCACGGGTGTATTATTTCAAAGCCGGGCATTTATTGAAATGAATACAGCAAATATAAATATGACTCCAATAAATTAAAGTGATACAATATTTTGATCATTTTCTGAACTGATTATTTTTACTTGTTTGATGATGGCGCGAAGGTGAGTGGGTGCGTCATGATTATGTGAGGAGACATTAACTCGCAAAACAAGGTGACTTTTGTCTGTTTGAGCAAGATTTTTTTGCTTTGAACATTTTGAATGGGGGAGCAACTGGAAGAGCGATTTTTTTTATTTTTTTGGGGGGGGGGGCAGCACCCATGCAGAGACCTAGATACACCACTGCTTTATTGATTCACTCAGGAATAGATGCAATTCTTGTACAATGAGTGTATTATAACTGCAAACAGGTGCCCTCAGCTGTAAGTTGTGTACACAGTATCCAATTGCAAAATGGCAAGCTCTGGATGTTTTATTTCAGCATACAAAAAGGTTGAATGTGGGTCTAAAATTAATAACATGATATCTCGAAAGAGCAACATCTGTCTTGGTTAATGATGTTCAATTACACCTTTTTGGGTGTATCCTTGTTCATATTAAATTTTCTACATCACCATATGAGTGTGCCTTGTGGAATATTATCGGAAAAAAAAGAAGTTTGCAAGACCCAGACACAGGTTTTAAAGGAGGTGGATTAGTAGAACCAATCCCACAATAGTTAAGATATTTTTGTACAAAAGTTCAATATACTGTACATAAATATAAATTCTTTCTGGCAAGAAAACTCTCTTAACATTTCCTATTTTAAGAATGATTAGATAAAAATTTTGCCTTTCTATGTATCCGATTAATTTTTCTGATTTTTTTTGTGCTACTGTATTTCATTATGAAGGACAGGGAGCAAATCTTGTTTGGGCTTTCGCTCATATCCTGTCTGAGCAAACCATGTTGTTTAATTTCTTTATATAGTACTGTATTTGCCAAATAAATATTATTATAGGATAAAAAAAAGATTTTTAAATTTAAGTTTGTGGATCAACCACATTGTACATGTATTCCAGGTGAAAACTTTTTATCAATTAATAATAAGCTGTTAAAATCTACTTCTGCAAGAATCCAGCCTTTAGATTTATGCACGAAGAACACCAATTTGGAAGATAATAAAGTATTAACTTAGATGAACGGCAATGTTATAGATAATATTTAAGTGTTCAAAAACAAACATCTAAAAAAATGGAACAAAAAGATATTCACAACAATGGAAATATTTGCACCTTGATGTCCGTGATATAGACAATTCAAATTTATTACAAACTCTTACATCATTCATAAAAACAATTATCAGACATTATTTTGTAACATTTTGTATAGGTTGATGCAAGTCAGCCGTCCTTATGGTAAGAGAATCTACAGTTCAAACGAAAAATAGCATTGTCAAGATACTGTCTGTCGTTAACAAAAAAAAAAACCTTGTCAACAAATCATTTCAATGCTAACTTTTAGCCGATTCACAACATTTTTAATAGAAAAATCCTTAAACTGATTACCAGCCAATTTAAGAGACTATGCAAAGAATATAGAAACAGTATTTTTATACATCTGTAAATTAGTGAGAAAAAAAAACACTTTCTTTTTCTCACAAGTCTGTTCACACCATTAATTTTTCTTTGACAAAAAAGAGTTGTATGCCCATATATAGTCATGATGTGACTATATACAGAGCTTACCATGCCAAAACCAACATCTGTGACCAAACCAAGACTTTTCATACATTATATTTATATTCTCCCCATTATAAGCTTTAAAATGATAGGTCATATTGGAATTGACTTCTGAAGTTGAGTAAAAAGTATTACGGCTATACAATACCGCCACATTCTTATGCTAATTATTCAGTTTTACATTTAGCGACAGTATGCTGGTTTTGGGATGGCAAACCATATATGGTCATGATGTGATGTCATCATTACCATATTTAGGCATGTCATATGTTTTTTGTCAAATCAAATTTGATAGTCTACACAAGGCTTTACAATTGAAAAGCTAGTAACTTTTGATAATGCAGTAATACAAAGTAAGCGATTCAAATTAACCTTGTTTATTAACTCGACATAGACAGTATAACTGTATAAAGACAAATATGCTTCTCTAGAACAATCTTAATTTTTCAACTACAACGAATAAATTGCACAGAATTTAATAAAGCAAAAATATCTTTGAAACCAATGAATAAAAAGAAAAATGTTTGAAAAAGAATATAATTTTTTGCCCATGCTTAACAACACAGTATATTTTCTAAAATCTTATCTATTTTTAAATTAATTTACAAAGAAACATCTTTAAAACTCTATAAGCTTATGCATTTGTTTCTTTAGAGATATAATATGATTTTGCACAATATAAACAAAACAAATACTTTCATGTAATAGATAAACAACATGAACATACATGGAATATTAACAGAAATTAAAACTTAATTTTATATAACAATATGGATTACAATTACAAAAAAAAAAAAAAAATTATTATTATGCAGCAATGTAGCAAGGACTCCAGGAATATTTAATTTCTTATAATCATGAATCTGGGATATAATTCAAACTAGATTTTGATACAGATTTTACTGTACCTTCTAAAAATTCACTGGCTTTTCAAAAATCGCTTCCAACTGATACAATTTTGAATAATTTATTATATTGATCTAAATATGCTATTAAAGTATGACTATTAGTATTATTATTCGTTTCAGTATTAGATTTCATTAAGCTTTAATGATTAAATATATAAATAATATTTAAAGCCTAGAAAGAAAGTAATTATTTAATTGTATTTGTTTTCTCATATTTCTCCCATCTCATTAAAGCAAAAACCCTGTACAACAATCTCTAATGCTTTACACTTTTGGTCTTTCAATAAAATATTTACTCTATTTACTTTCTAGGTAACAATATTAAACATTTACTTCAAATTAAAACCTCAAGAATTATGTAGCAAAGCACACAAAATAGGGAATAAGATGTTAAGTTTAGTCAATGAAAAATAATACATATGAATAGAGCACCAACTTATCCAAAAGCTAGAAAGTAATACAATGACTAATGAAGAGAAATTAATTTAAAAATATATAGCCATTTAAAAAATGTTTCATTATTTTCCAAGTATTCATATTAAAAGAAATTTAATTATTTTACAGGTTAAAAAATGTAGATATAACAAACAATGATAAATTTTACAATTAACATATGAACTCAATTAATAATAGAAACTGCCAAGATAAAGTATGTAAGATAAAAAAAAAATGATTCCTTATAAATCAAGAAGATCTGTGTTGCCAGTATAGAAACCAATAAATAGAAATAAATGCTGTGTTGATGAACTATTTCTTGCTCCAAATTGTTGAAATTGGGGCATTTTTCAAAGGCAACTGTGTATTCATGAAAAAACACAGGTTAAGCATGTATACTGAGAAGCTTATAAATAGTACAGAAGTGTTACTGGAAGAGCTTATTTCTCTAATTTTGTTACAAATAATTTGAATACTTACATTTTTAATTTCTTACATTTCTTAAGGTTAACATTTCAATCTGACATAAAATAAAGGCCAACACAATTTATTTTAATAGAATTGGGACTTATCCATATCAAATGTTGGTTTTATACAATATAAGTCAAATCAAACATTTGTCCAATTCCCTTTCTTTTTTTTTTTAATTATTCAAAATAAGATATTGAATACATTACTCAACTATCAACTTATGGAAAATTAATAAATACTGCTCTCCATGTTTTAGATAACACATGAAAAATAGAAATACTGCCCTCTACTGTTCAGAGGGCATTAAAATTATGACCAGATGCAACCATTAATTTTATCCATGATTTTTCCAACCCTTTACAATATATATAGTAAAATCAAACCTGTGGTGAATTATTAATTTTGTTGAATTTTCTGAAAATTCTGGGTAGTTGAGAAATACCTTTTGTTTGCTCCTTAATGGATGACTGAGTGTGAATTATTATTATAACAATAAAACAGTTCCATAATTACAAGTTATTAAAACCATTAAAATTCCCATAAAAATCTTAAAAGCTAAAACTCACTTGGTAATCTTGCCATACAAATTTCCTGTGATACATCAGTGTTCATCATAAGGAAATAGGAAGTACAACCCCGACAATGAATATGTATTGTCCTTATTCAATTTTTACATCAATACTTTGGATATACACTTTCTATTTTAACTCCAGTCACATGTGATATAATACCTACTTGAGGAAGCACAATACAAAACGTCATTATCGACAGTTTATACGGTTACATTCAAAATGGTTTCCTTCTTACAGTCAATATTGATAAAATAGTAACAGTTTTCATGAAGATGATATAAAATATTATCTTGGCATTAATCAGCAAGACATTTATAAGAAGCATTTAAGTATTAGTTACTGGTATCATGGTAATGATCTTTCAGAACAAACACTAATTTGAGAAATTAAAAAAAATAAGAGCTGATAAATCAATGCAGTTTCCACGGCGAATACAGGTTATTGGTCGGTTTTGCAGTAATATCAGCAAAACATTGTATTCTTTAAAAAAAGTTTAATATTCTAATAATTCTTATCAGAACACACAACTGCAAAGTGTGTAAATGGATACATAATTTCTATGATGTTGCAATTATGTTGAGTGCTAATTTCATCCTTATTACAGTTGAAGGGGTTACAAACATCCTGTTAATAACAGTAAGAGTCCTTTTAATTGGGAAATACTCCTGGTATCAAGATGGGAGGTCTATACTTAGCAAACACTTCTCCAGTATCAACAAAGGCTGCTCTCATCTTCAGTAAAGGTAACATCTAGAAACAACAGCATGTGCCCCGAGCAGGGTAACATCCAGAATCAACAGCATTGCCCCTAGTATCAACAGAGGGTACCCACATGGGTGCCATCAGCTTCAGCTAGCTAGAGGCACCTCTGATTCAGCAAAAAGTGCCTCTAGAATCAACAACAGATCACTTTAGCATCAACAAATGGTACCATCAGCGAGGAACTCCCTAATATTAACAAGAGGTTTACTTCTAGCATTTACATGGCGTAAGTACCTCTTTCATCAAAAAGTGACAACCATAGTCTCTGCAGGGGGCACAATGGTATTCTAGCATCAACCAGGAAACCAACGGCATCAGTCCAGTTTGAGGGAGACTCAGAGCAGGTTGTCGTGCACAGCGTAGAGAAGCATCATATGCTCGGCGCCCTTGATGTTCAGCTTGTGTAAGGAATAATGACTGATCACACATGGAATCGATTTAAAAGGTTTACTAAATTCACCCAGTATGTAACCTTCTTGGTGTAGCACTATCTTCATATGCATATAGCCTTTTGCACTCCTGTAGGAATAACAAATACCAATATCAATATTATCAATTTATCAAGAATTCTATAACTATTATCTCAGCCTATACAATGCAAATAACAGTTCCTCCTCAAAAACAAACAGTCATAACAATGAACATATCATATGAAGTATGTAATATTACCTATTTGGAAAACATACATCAGATCTTGGAAAACATACATCAGATAGATTCTTATTAATTACAACTACATACATCAAGATATACATTTATAACTCAGGGTACATTTGTCAACAAACTGAAGCTAAATCCATTATTATTACTGTTTCATAATTTCATTAATAATGCATGCAAAGTTCGAAATAATTTACTGTATGTAAATAATTCTCATTACATTAAAGTGCATGTAGATATAACTGCTGGAAACCGTATCTATAGTATTTGTTGACTGGTAATTATTATCATATATTAATAACAGCTTTAGAAAATTAACTGAAACAAAAACAGCCAAACTGTTACTGCAGCAACAACAGTATAAAAACACATTATCAACAGCCAATCAAAAATAATGCTACTTTACTGGAAACCGAATACTTTATTATAAATCCTATTAAGTGAATTAAAGTACTAAAGAAGATGACACTAGAGAAAACATGTTCCATTGTTAGTCATGATACACATAATGATCTGCTTGATGTTTAAAAAAAACAACACAATTCACTGGAAAGCATCCATCATCACAAGTTGTCACTCACCCAGTTACCGTAAGTATCCAAAGTACAGAAATCACACATGGATTGCGTAACAATTCTTGCAGATATTTAAAGGTTTGTACACACTATCAAACTATATGCAAAAAATGTATCTGATATGCCCATATATGGGCATGATGGTGTCATATTACACACAAATATGGGCATATCACATGTATTTGTCACATAAAATTAGTGTGGCAAAAAGTATTATGCTAAAAATGTGAATTGTGGGATTGTAGGATTTGTGACAAAGCAACTGTTGGAAAACCATCTGCATTTTTTGGATTCCTATTTCCCGAGTAACACTGACTTATTACAAAAATTAAATCATATATCAAGGAAAACATGATATTTATAAGCGTAAAAATCTACAATTTCTATTTTTTTTTTTTTTTTTTTTTTTACAGTGACTGTACACCAGTTAGGCATTTTCCTATTATTCATCTCTTTACAATTCAATTATTATTTTGTGCTAGTTAAGAATTAAACTAACTAAGAATTAAAAGCATGTCCTTTACATTGTAAATGTCAGTAGAATAAAGCTAAATCTAGGCTACAATAAAATATAATGAAGTCTGTTACTACATATTAGGTAGATTTTAAAGGAGGTTGACAAGTTTGATGGTGGTCTGAGTCAGCTAGGCAAGGTTGGGTTAGAGTGCTTGACCTCTGCTTGATGCAGGTTTGTTGGCCAGTTTGATACTGATTTGAGTCAGCTAGGTCGGTTTTGAATACTACATGTGGGTTGATTAGTATAGTAGGCAGTTGGCCATTTGGCTTTGAGTGCTACATGCTTGCCAAACTATGTGCCAGCTAAATGTAGGTTGATTAGTAGCCAGTTGACCAGTTTAGTATTGATTTGAATCAGCTAGGCTAGGTTGGGTTTGAGGGATATGCTTGCCAAACTAGTGATGTCAGTGCTACAATTATATGAGATGACATAAAGTACATCCTGTATGCTTGCCAAGAACTCTAGCTGGCAGACTGCTGCACCGGCCCACTACATGTTGGAAGCAAACCAACATGCCATGGGGAGACCTACAGTACTGTAACTTGGAATGAAATCAGAAATTTACATGCCCATCAGACCTCTCCACTGTCCAATGCCACAACAAAGACTCTGGACTAAAAATATTAATTTGCCAATCCAACAACATTATTTTGATTGCCAATTCTTCATATTGCGGTCTAAAAGCGCAAACCTGGACGATTCTAAGCCATAAAAGCTCTCCCTTTGTGCCTCATCAACATTATTATTTGGGACTTGGGCCAAGGTAGTAGGGATTTTATAGCACACAGGGTGATTACAGAACTATCAGTTTTAAATAATTTTTTTTTCTGAGTTGCCAGGCCTAGGCAACATAAATTGATGCTCACTGCCCATGAGTGCATTTAAATTTCTGTATGATTTTATGGTTTAAGCAAGAACAAGAAAAAAGGAGGATAGCAAAAGACATAGAAAAAGTATGTCAAGAACATTTATTTGGTACTCTTAAACTATGAACTCACTTTAGTGACAATGAGAAATCCTTTGCACTACTTTCACTTTGACGAACTAGGTAACTTCCTTCACGGCAGGATTTAAGCTTCTTTTCAGCATCACTCCTAGAAAGTTTACCATGATACCACCTAAAACACAAAATGAAATTTAAAACAAATTTACCTTAATGTAATTCATTCAAATTATATTTGTTTTATAGTTAGTGGCTTGTTTAGATACAGTTCCAATTAAAGACCACCTATGGGACCTGAACATTTGGGGTAGTCTTGGGATTTGGAATTTTTTAGTCTTAATAAATTGAAGATTGTTTTTTGGTTCTTTGAAAAAGTGACTTGAATTAAAGGGCCGCCATTTGGAGGGTGCACTGTATATTACAACTGACAAACAGTTGTTGTTTTTATTTTACCAAGCATAATGGATAAATATTCTCACATAAAAAAATATGACACAAAAATATGTGACTATCTAAATGACATTTTCAGTGTCAAAGGGGGATGTAGCACTGCCAGGGAATCCTAAACCTATCCCTTTTTAATGATATCCAAAAAGATAAACATTTTGATGGATATGTATGTGAATTTATGATATAGTCTGAGTTTGTATTTTAATTTAATCTAACCAGGAAGCAATTCTCCACAACTGAGGTAATAAAAGACCAATCTTCATGGGTGGCAAGTAGGGAGATGTAGAAATGTACAAGATAAGATAGCTAGCATGAGTATACCTGTACTGCACATGTTCTAGCTGTTTAAATTATAATAATACGCTGCTTGTACACTTAACTGGGTACTTTAGCTGTTAGAAACGTTCACTATAACAGCTGTAACCTGTACAGCATGATGTAATCTAAACACCAAACGACTTTACAGGATTAATAAAGCTACTGTACAGTACAACTGTAACAAATTACAAAATATGAAATTGCCTTAGCATGTTGAATTTCAACATTATTTCTATCAACTAGTGTTGTTAGCAAACATGTAATGGAATAGATTTGAGTTGATAGAACTTGCTGTACTACTGCAGCTAAGAGCAAATCTAAACACAGGCTAAGCTTACGGATTCATGGCAATATGTACACATTTTTAATAGCTTGTCAATCAAAAAATGTAATAGCTTCTTGTTGCATTTTAAAAACCATCAAAATGATTATCCTGGTATAGTAGTGGTTGGAATAGTATCCAGGGTCGCGAATGTGGAATGTTTCAGCTCTAAGGGCCTTAGCCCCATTGCCTCTGCAAGAGCGTTCTCCCAGGCCTCCACCAGAACACTCAGGTCTCTCAAGACTGCTGCCTCTAATAAATTTTTTTTTAAACCCCTCTTAAAGAAACCTGGTTATGGGCCTGAGATTTATCTCAACACAGTCGGTACTGTGTGGAACTCAATCGGGTGTATGGAAGCAAAGTTATGACCGTTTGAATAATTGTCACCTTATCAACTTTATTAAATCAAGTTTTGAGAAAAATGCTTTTATTTTCGGCAGGTTTCTATTTATTTTTCACTAGCTCCCATCCAAAAATGGCTAAATTTTACCTCTTACAGTTGGAATTTTAAACTTAAATTTCAGGAATAGTAAGATTAAATGTTATACTTTATTTATTACACAAACACACAAAATTCCCGTTCTACGCCCTATTCTGGCTATTGAGGCTTGTTTCTCAACACAGTGCAGTGCGAGTTTACAGCCCATTTGTGAGCTTGTGTCACAATTTCGGTATATAGCCTGAAGGCTAACATTTACTTAAGGTTAGATTAAGGATTTTGTTTACTGTTTATGAACCAAAATAAATTTTGACCTGAAGACTATCGATTGTTTTACACTTCCTCAACAACTTGCCAATTTCCTTTATTTGGGAGTCAGCATGCGTAGGCGAACTTCCTTAATGGCAAATCTACTACTTTCGTTGATATCCTGCCTTGTTCAATTGGGATATCACATCATGGCACATTCTATCCCAACAAAAATAGGAGCGTCCACATTCGCGACCCTGGATACTATTCCAACCACTACTATACCAGGAAAATCAAGACCAAGATACCCGATAATTTAAAAAAAAGTGTCTTCAACTAAATCCTCTTTTATAATCCCATCCTCATCATGAATTTACGGAAAGTAATCTCACATTACCTCACACATCAACACAGGAAATACATCATAAGTCCAGTCAAGTACGTAACTTAATCTTATAATTCTATAAACACAATGCCAAAAACAGTTCCTATTCAAGAGTAGCCCTTTCCCGTTTAAGGGCGTGTATCATATTCAAATGATTAATGAGTGCAAACATATTATAATGTGACCTTCATGTTGCATATCTCGAATTCAATATGCCTAGAAGGATAAATACGGGCTCAGAATTAAATAAAATATCAGCTCCTTGGAGACTCTCCAGTGTTTTTCTGGAACACTAGAAGGAAACCTATATCCCACGATAACAGAATACAATGTGGAACGGTTAGAAACAGCCGGTGACCTCTGCATCTTGGGCAGGAAGCTTATTTCAAAAGACAAATCCATCGCATTCCACATGGAGTGATTCAATGTTTGAAGTAGACAGAGATCTTAGCACAATATTTCCTCAAGTTCAATCACACTGAATGCATTAGAACAAAATGTTTATTAAATAATACCATTTTGTAATTCATCTCTATGGTTAATGTTTCATAATTCATGTTCAATCCTACATATCTAGGAACAAGTTTGGAACAAACCAGTTTCGCTGATACAGCATCAATTAATTTGGAGTTCATTATTATTATTCCAGCACAATGTAAATAACCAACAGCATTCCACACAAAATGCAATCTATTGGATGAACATCATTCCAGATTTACTTAGTGCACATAGAAAAATTATTAGATTATCACTCTTTCTTTTTTTATTGATGAGGGAGGGCGGTTTTTTTGGTTTTTTTTTTTAAATCAGAACAATAGATTATTTCACTTTTGTGTTTATCAATGAGGAAGGGACTGTTTATATTTGGTGTGTAATGGTAAATATTGTATAAAAACTGGTTTAATTTTATAGTATTTTAAAGAAAATGTATTTGAAGTCACAAAATAGCATTGGTATTTTTATGCTGTTGAAATAATTGATGCGGCAAAAAAAGTTTTTTTTTATTCCCGCATCAATATTTCCCGAATTTTTGACGCAGGCGGAGTGATAATCTAATAAATTGTTCTATTTGCCCTTATCTATTTGGTGTGAATCTATCCCTCCTTTCAGGATATAGCCCACCTACATTTATGCATAACATTACCTATCGTAAGATTAGGAGTGAAAAGGATGAACGATCTAAAGTTACTTATAATTTCACTATGAAATACTATAAATCATGCATATAAGAACATAAAAAATTTTATTCTAGGAAACCCAAGTTAATGTAAGCCAATAAAGCCAACTTCCATCTATCGAGGATGGGGTTGTCATGCATTTAGACATTTAAAGTTTCATCATAAAGGTTCCATTATGAAGGTGGCCCAAGTTTCATTACGAAGGTGGCCCTCGCCACCAAGTAGGTATGAAATATACACTAACATGAGATAACATCCAAATGCTACACCTGCTAATACATAGGCTGTGATGATTAATCGACAGAAAAATGCTTGACTTGAATACTGAATGTGAAGTAGTGAGGAATAGAAGCCAAGTACCGGTCAAAATGATAAACACAAAATACTTCTGCGAAATCAAGCCATGATGGGGAGTGGTACTCTAAAAAAAAAACCACATTACAATTAATTTTAGTACCACTTCATGTTCCTTTTCTATTAACCTTGCGGCTTCGTGGATGGCGAGACCCTCAATGTATAACCAGCTAAATTAATTACACGCTATCCCAAAATTTACTTTCTGCACTCTTCTCTTTCTGTTACATTTTGGCTAAATTTCTACCTTTTCCTTTACAATATCTGTAATGATCTAACTGCATGTTGTATGTATGTATTAAATTTGACTTCATGTTTTAGGCAAACCTTGCAATACATACCCCTGTTCTTGGAGAGCCTTATTAGGGTCAACGTATTCCCCTACTGGGTCTGGTTTCGGTCTTGTAATTTCCAACCGTAAATTTGAAGATGGTTTATTTGAACAGCTACTGCTACGACTCATTTGAGTATGTTCTCTATTACCTCCTGTAGTATTGAGAAAAAGGAAATTATAAAACAAAATATATTGACATTGTGTTGGTTGCATTTATATATTTATGCATACTGGTCATGAATTGCCAATTGTTAATATCACGCTGTCTTTTTAAATGAAAATAAAATTATCCCTCTTTACTGACACACCACAAAATGCTAACAATATAAATATAACATCACTGTGTACATTGGTTAATACAGAGACAGTAGGAACAGAGTTCTAGCTTAATATCCAATCTGTACGATGATATAATTATGTGTTATCCAAGAACAATTGAAAATCAGTACTAAACCAGACTACAACACCCAAGGAAATACCCTTCGAATTAACAGCGTTATTTCAACTCATTTTCTTACTGTGGTATACTTTAAATAATATTCTATATTCATTCACAGGAAGTATGCAAATTACAATGCATTGTGGGTTATGATGCTATACATACCATGTGCTGCTTGGTTCATACCACGGATTCTTTTCCATTCCCAGGGTTCATCATACTCTGTTGGTGGTCTGTTATCTGTTTCTGGTGTCGGTCTCAATCCGTGATTAAGGCTGGCCACGTCGGATCTACTCCTAGACCTTGGTATACTAATGTCGGTGGGTGAGGTAGCTTCTTCTTTGGCCCGGTTTCTCCTCATCTGCCATTCCCATGGCTCATCGTACTCGCCTCCCGGCCTTGAATCCGTGTCAGGTGTCGACTGAAGGCGTTGTCGTTCCTCTGATCGCATCGTAGAAATTGCATGTATTGTTTCCTGTACTCTTGGTGATAACCGCCCGTTTTCTAAAGTTAAGCCATTGTGATGCGTTTTAACATCACCTCCAGGTGGGACTATGGGTTCCGGGTGGTCCTGTGGGGGTTTTGGTTTACCATGGTAACTAGGGCGGTTGCTTACTGGGGCAGCTCCATTACTTACTCTTCCTCCTTCTATATAAAATTTAAAAAATGTTGTTATACTGGATTAAATGCAAGACATTTTATGTAAAATAATTGGGCTTCCAAAGTTTATAGTAATTCATGAAGACAATTTAAGAGACAGCTGCTACAATGGTAGGATAATAGTAGGAAACTAATTTTATACAGGCACCGTGGAGAGATACCATAGAGGTTTAAAGCCCCATTCCTGGAAAAATTTCACAAAAATTGAATTTTTTTAGAAAATATGCATTTGCATTACTTCAATTATTATAAATCATGGAAAAATATTGCCATGAATTTTAGTTTTACGCAAAAGAATAAAAAAAATGAGAAATACAGACTATTTCTCATAAAATATTACTATTTTCTCGATGAATTCATCGTTACTAGGCAAATTCAGAGGTTGTAGATCGCATCCACT